CTAGTTTTACTTTAGATATTTGTGTATCCATTACTGTTGTAAATATTTCTTGTGAGTCTGGTATCATAATGAGTATTATTTGTTTATTAAAGATATCAAAAAATAGTTCAGGTAAGTCTATTAAATCAAAGATATATTCTAGAACTATATAGTATGCAAAGTATTGCCAAAGGGTTTTTAGTACTAGAAAGATGTAATATTTTCTTATAAAGATATTTATATTAGTGATTTTTTTTCTATAAAAGCTAATTGAAGTTGCTTAATTGTTAAAAGTAGTTTAGTTAGATTTGATTTAGTCTTTGGTTATTTTTTTGATATTATCTAAGATTGAGATATAGTATGAAAGTAATAGTGCTCATATAATGCTTTAGCTATGATATTTAGTTCTTTGAATATTGAAATTGGTAGTGTCAAATTAATATAAATAACTAGTTCAGCATTTTCAAGCAAGTTTGGAAGGTCTGTATAGTTAAAGTTGTAGTATGCTTGTAGTAGTAGTGTTGAGATATTATAAATAGATGAAATACTTTTAATAAAAGTATTTACTTCCTCTTTGCTTTGCAGAAAGAACACAAGATTTGTTATTTTTAATTATATTGGGTCTGAAGGTAGATATTTGTGAAAAGTAATGTAATTATTAGAAAGTCTTGTAAATAAATAGTCTATATGTAGGAGTCTAATATACTCTTTGAAATTTTCTTGATTTTTTGAACAAGAAGAGAAAGTTTTCTTTTAATCTTGGTATTAAGTCTTGTAAAGTGTAAGGTAAAAATGGCTTTGAGGCAGATACTTTACAGAAATTTAAATATCTTAATATATAATAACTGCATAATAACTATATAGTTACTATTAAATTTAATAGTAACTATATAGTTATCATATTATTATTATGCAATTACTATACATTAAAATATTTAGGTTTCTGTATAGTAGATCAAAGCATTTTAATAAAATTTGTCAAAAAAGTAAAACTTCTGTGACTCTCTATATTGGTTTAAATTTTGTAGATCTGCTCTATTTGTGATAAAAAAAGATATCGTATTTAATTTTTTAGTTGCTTGTAAAAGGTAGGCAAGGGCAGTGTTATACATTTTGACTGTCTAAAAGCTTTATTGGTACTGTCCAACATCCAAGTGTCCAAGTGTTTACAAGTATTCAGAGCATATTCAAGCTTTAATAATTAATAAATTTGTTTAAAAATATATAATTATATATTTTGTTATGTGCTAAACATATTTCACTTAGAAATTAATATAGGTTATTTTAATAAAAGTTTGAGTAATTTTAATTTATTTAATTGTTTAAAATTGTCCAAAGTGTTCAAACTTGCTATCTACAACTGTCCCATAACAATACTGGGCAAGAGCTCTCTGATATTTAAATATATATATCTGGTATTCTATTAAATAAGATTATTAATTATAAGGTCTTAACAACTGATACAGTAAGTTGTCAAATTGGGATTAGTAAATTAAAGAGAATTGCTTTTTGCAAGTATTCAGAAATAAGGTTTAGCTTATTGAGTAGAGATATTAATACTTCTGTAATAAGATTTGAGACTATCTATTATATTATTTCAAAGTCAAGATGTTTTGAGATTTTTATAAAACCTGTCAAGTAAAATATATATCTTGTAATTTTCTATATATCTAAAGAGTTGAAGTTTAGGTTGGTTAGATAATCTAGAACTAACTTTTCCCATAGTAGTTCAAAGATTTTTTCAGTTTTTTTATTTGTAGCTAAGATATTGTATTGCTTTTTGTATATTTTTAGAGTATTAATAAATAGATTATTACTGTATTTTTGCGAAATAACAGACATGGGTGTTATTTCGAAAATTGTAATCCTTAAAAATAATATATATAGTTTCAAAATAATATCCATACATATTCCAAAATAATATATACCTATAGTAAGAGATATTTATTTATAGTAATATTAAAAAATACTTCAAAACTAGGTGAGTTACGAAGTAAATCTTGTTTCGAAGTATTTTTATTATATATAAAAAAATACTTAAAAATTTTATATTTGTCTTAAAATAACACTCATATATATACTCAAAATAACAAGTAGACGTTATTTTACAAAAATATAATAAATTCTTTTTGATATTGTGATCTGGTTGTTTAAAGCTTTTAAAAAAAGCTATGTTCTGATAAAAAAATTTTACTGTTATTGCAGTTAGGATATAGTTAGAAATAGATTTTGTTGAGAGTTTATATTTAATTAATTTTTAAGATCTTGAAGTAAGTTAATATATTTTTAATTCTTGAATGGGTCCAGGTTGTTGTATCAAAAAAATCTAGTCTTTCTTGTCTAATTTCTTTTAAAACTGCTTGTATATATTCCTACTATTCTTTCTATTTGTTACTGATAAAATATCTATTTGGGGTCTTTCTGGTTCTGTTTGGAATATCTTTGTTAACTGTCTATATGATATTTTTGTTTGTAATTGTTTATTTAGTATTGTATTAATTGAACAAATCTTTTTGTTGTCTCTGCCAACTGGGTTTATTATGTATTAGTTTAATTCTATATTAAGTGAGATGTTTGTTAACCAGTTGAGTCTAAAATCTAATTCAGGTAGGGTCAAATTATTTACTTTTCTGTGTTGTTCTAATATGAAAAAGACCATGCTAGATATAACAGAACCCTGGGTCAGAACCTGCTTGATTTGTTTGTTTGAAAAAATTATATATTAGGAATTGCTTTGGGTTCTAGATTAGGTTTTTTGTTATTCTGGGTGATAATATCATTCCTGTTAGATTTGGGGGTAAGCTAGGATTTGCCTTTTTTCTAAAATTTTCTTTGATATTATTGTTGTCAACAGTGGATGGTATGAAGATAGAGGTGTCATCAGTAATTTTACACTTTTTTTTCTTATTTTGTACATCCATTAGGCCACAGTTTTCTATGTGAATGTGTATAAGTTATGTTTTTTTTTTTCTTGAGGCTTGTTACACACTTTTTGTTATCCTTGTTGTTGTTATTTTTGTCAATTGCTGACTTAGTTGACAACAGAGTTAGAAATGAGACTGAAGTGCAAAAAGCTGTCTCTCTGTTCCATTTAATTTTAACGAGCTTTGTCTGTTGCTGTGTTAATACTTTGTAATAATTTAATTATAGTATAGTTATGCAATTTCCAAATTTTTGCCGCTTTTTAGATCGTTTGTTTTGTTTACTTATAAAATTGGGATCTGCGGGAAAGTGTTTTTCTTTTTCCAGTCGATTTTAATATCAACTAGTCGAGTCGATAAAATTATGTCGACTGCAAACACTGATCAGGAGTTATTAATAATAAATACCGTTTTCACCACTTTACGTGTATCTATCCTTTGCATGTATAAATTAATCTTATTTACCCGATGTCGACGTTAGCCATTTTTGATTTCCTAGTCTATTTCGAATTCAAATCACCACAATAATAATAAGATCACCCTTGTAGATTAAAGTCATTGACAATTGCAAAACTGGTAAAATTTAAACTGCGTAGTAAATACAAGTTGGCTAAAATGAAGTATCTTTGATCAAATTTCGATATTTACTAAAATCATCGTAAAGTTTTGGTAAAGATACATTATTTTGCAAACCGCTATAAGTTGATTACTAATTGATTCGTAAATTAAAATCATGAGACGCATATCAATGTAAAATGCTATAAGGCTTTAGACGACCTGTGAATGTAGAAACCACCAATGTTCGAAATTTCAAGTTCAAATACTGTTCTCATGACGACAGTATTAAAGTGTTCTCAACTCATGATTATGCTCTCTAAAAAAACTATTGATTTCTAATTACAAATATAGGTTTTCAGCTTCAGCTTTAACCGTGAATCATTAATGCATTAATAACAAACATTATAATGGTATATTACCTCAAGTACATCAAGAGCAGAAGGTCCCTCGAAAGAAATGATTATATACGAATAGCATGATCGTTTTTTGATAAATAAATATTTTTATTTCTTATCTAATCGTTCGATTATTATTTAGTAGTCACGTTTATCTTTGCACTGAATACGTATACGTATATACATTTTTGTAATCTATACTATAATACATACACATAAAAATACATTGTCAAAAACACAATTCGATTATCCTTGTTCTAATCTGATAAATTTTCACAAAGTGGGAATCTGATCACTACTTTTACCAATGTCAATATCAGAATCGTTTTCATCAAATGAAACTGTTTCTGAGAACTCTGTATCCGTAAGTGATGATGGATATTCTGGAAGAACAAAGTTTGGAAGATCTGGATATTTTTCCTTTACCAAGTTATCAAAATAGTCATCTCTACTTTCTGATGCTTTGGGTTCTTGAATTTCAAAGTTTATCGTAGACACTTCTTCGTTATTATGTATACTCGTAGATAATTCATCGTTATTATGTATACCAAACACGTCGCCAATTGATCGGTAGACTTCAACAATACTTTCCATTTGATCAAGTAACATAGCGACTTTGTTTTCAGAATTAATCAATTTTTGCTCTAACTCTTCATTAGTGACGATCAATTTATTGTTTTTTTCTCTATATAAATTAATTTCTGATTCTTTTAAAGTTCTTTCTTCTTCCCACTGTTGTTCTTCACTTTTAGCTCCCTTGTTTAAACTTTCTTGTTCAAATGATGATTTTTTTTGTTTTATCTCCTGTTCAAGATTTTCTTTCATATTTTCATACGTTAAAATTTGTTGCCTTAAAAGTTCATTAGACTTTTTCAACATTTCATTTTCATTTTTTAAAGGGTCGTACATTCCCTTTAATTCCTCATATTCCCTGTTCAATAAGTCTTTTTCATTTTGAATTTGTGTTACTTGTGTTTGCATGTGTGAAATTTGTTGTAATTTTTCTCTTTTGAAAATGTTTAATTTCTGGCTTAATGGCTGCTGGTCTTCGTAATCCTGCAATATTGATGTTCTAACGTTACCATGCGTATTAATTGTTTTTTTAAGTTTTTCCTCTAACCCCTCTTTATCTTTGCTAATTAATTGATCTTTAATCATTTTCATTAGTTTGTCTGCACTTTGTGCATACATATTTATCATCTGATGATCTGATCCAATTTGATTAGCCTTTTGTTTTATTTCTTTAATTTGTCGTTGTGTTCTTGCCGCTTTTGATTCAACTAAACGAATCATATCCTCAATTTCTGCTATTTCATAAAACATTTCCGGTTCATTATAACACTCTGAAATTTCTTTGGACGGTCTTGATTCTTCACTTTCACAACACTCGGAAACTTTTTTGGAAGAACAGTTTTTTTCAATATTATCCGGTTTCACAACTCCTTGCCTTGTTGCTTTTAACTGTATTTTTATTTGAAGTAATTGTTCTTTAATCGCTTGCACATCATCTAATAAATTTGATGTTTTTTCAACTTTTGGTTCAATATTTGCTATCTTTTTATATGCTAATCTGGATTGATTTATCGCAATTTCCTAATGAGAAAAAAATTACAATGTTAAATTCAATAATATAAACAACCAATACTTTATAAAAAAAAAAAAAAAAAAACCTTGGCTTGTTGCAATTGTTGACTTAATTGAACAATAAATCTAATAACTGAGAATTTTTCAGATCCTATCTCTTCACTGTCTGATAAGTTCTCATTATCAATTTCATCATTTAAATCATTATCAAGGGAATCTGGTGTATATCCATTCTTTCTAGCCAATTCTAGTTGGGATTTAAACCAAAGTTCACGCTTTTTAAATTCAGCAATTTTAAAATCTTGGTCTTGAAGCCTTTCCAAATAACTCTCACGATTCATATTTGAAAGGTCATCAGAATATTGATTATAATCTTCAGAAGTAGGTGTATTATCGGAAAGATTGTCTGAAAGTATTGGTATTTGATCTATAGTTTGAACATCTTGTGGTCTCCACTTTTGTTTTTCATCAAATGTAGATTTTATATTTCGCATATGTTCCATATTTGTGTTTGTTCTATAAAATTCTAAATTAGTGTTTTCCTTATCAAGAGATTCATCCTTTTCTATCACTTTTGCATTATCTGTGGAAATTTCAATAGAATTTAATTTTTCATCGATAGCTTGATCTTCTTCAATT